CTTCGCCGTGGGGTGCTCCGGTCTTATTTGTTAAGAAAAAGGATGGGTCTATGCGAATGTGTATAGACTATCGTGAATTGAATAAGTTGACAATGAAAAACAAATATCCTTTACCAAGGATTGATGATTTGTTTGATCAATTGGTGGGAGCAAGTTATTTCTCCAAAATAGATTTAAGGTCAGGATATCATCAACTTAAAGTCAGAGAAAAAGATGTTGCCATAACAGCATTCAGAACAAGGTACGGGCATCACAAATTCTTAGTTATGCCATTCGGCTGAACTAATGCACCTGCAACTTTTATGGATCTGATGAATAGGGTACGTAAGGAATATCTTGATAAATTTGTTATTGTATTTATCGATGATATTCTTATATACTCTAAAACTGAAGAAGAACAGGCAAAACATCTTCGTCTGATACTGAAATTGTTGAAAAAAGAAAAGTTGTATGCTAAAATGTCCAAGTGTGAATTATGGTTAAGAGAAGTTCAATTTTTGGGTCATGTTATCTCAGAAGCCGGAGTACAAGTAGATCCAATGAAAATAGAAGCAGTTGACAAATAGGAAGTTCCAAAGACTCCATCTGAAGTTTGTAGTTTTTTTGGGTTTGGCAGGTTACTACCGAAAGTTTATTCAAGACTTTTCAAACTATGTGTTGCAGGAGGTTCATATAGTAAGGGGAAGGGGAAAGTGTAATATTTTCCTTTATGCGCTTCTGCTTGAAGATCTGTTTTGACTGATTAGTACAAGAAATGTATTTGGAAATTTTGGACCTTGTAATTGGTCATGTTAGATTCTTGTACTAAGGGACCTGAATGAGATAATAATATGTATTTTCTTTGTATGAAATATGTATTACATGCAATGTGTGGGTTGGGGCGTTACATTAGTCCAATTTTACATTGATTAGAGAGATTTAGGGTCCATTTGGTGTTGGTGGATATAATTGTCCTATTTCTCCTTAAGAAGTCCAATTGGGTCAACACGACTCAAACTAGGTCATAATTAGTCTTTTTAGACCCTAATGAGTTTTAATGGTCCCAATTCTCCATAAAGAGTCAAATTGGATCAAAATGGCTCTGCATGAGCCATATCAAATTTTTTCAGACCTTAATGGTTATCWTGGGCTTATTTCTCCTATTTGACTCTAATTGAGCCATAACGGGCCTATTTAATATAATCGAGTCATTTGTGTCAAAATGACAACAAATGAATCATAATTAATCTGATTAAACCCTAGTAAGGTTAATAGGCCAATTTATCCATAAGGGTTTTAATTGGCTCAGAATGACATGAATTAGGTCGTATTTAGTTTGATCAGAACTTAATGGTATAATATGCTAAATTCGTGATAAATAGTCTAATTTGATATTGATTGGAGTGATTGAGGGTCCATTTGGTGTTGGTGGATATAATTGGCCTATTTCTCCTTAAGAAGTCCAATTGGGTCAACACGACTCAAACTAGGTCATAATTAGTCTTTTTTGACCCTAATGAGTTTAATGGTCCCAATTTTCCATAAAGAGTCAAATTAGATCAAAATGGCTCTGAATAGGCCAAATTTAATTTGTTCAGACCTTAATGGTTTTCTTGGACTTATATTTTCTATTTTAGTCTAATTGAGCCATAACGGGCTTATTTAGTATAATCGAGTCATTTGGGTTAAAATGACAACAAATAGATCATAATTAATTTGATTAGACCCTAGTAAGGTTAATAGGCCAATTTATCCATAAGGGTTCTAATTGGTTCAAATGACTCAAATTGGGTCGTATTTAGTTTGATCAGAACTTAATGGTATAATATGCCAAATTCGTGATAAATAGTCTAATTTGACATTGATTGGAGTGATTGAGGGTCCGTTTGGTGTTGGTGGATATAATTGGCCTATTTTTCCTTAAGAAGTCCAATTGGGTCAACACAACTCAAACTAGGTCATAATTTGTCTTTTTTAAACCCCTAATGGGTTTAATAGTCCCAATACTCCATAAGGAGTCTAATTGGGTCAAAATGACATTGAATGGGCCATATTTTGTTTGTTGAGACCTTCATGGTTAGCATGGGCTTATTTCTCGTATTTGAGTCTAGTTGAGCCATAACGGGCCTATTTAGTATAATCGAGTCATTTGGGTCAAAATGACAACAAATGGATCATAATTGATCTGATTAGACCCTAGTAAGGTGTCACACCCCGCTAAAGCGAAAACACAGGGTGCTAACAGACAAGCGAGTCTTGGCAACAGTTTAAGAGAAACAAATTTTACAAAGGTTCATAATAATTAGTTCATCGACTTAACTGTATTCCAAGGTTACAAAAGTATTTTCGAAAACAATAAAAACTGTCTTAATCGATGTGATCCAAGTGATGCTCCCAGAGTCCACATAACTTACTTAGTACCTGAAAAGCATGACATAAAACAGARTCAACTACAAAGAGTTGGTGAGTTTCACGGGTTTTCACATGCATAAAGACAGTAGATGCATAAACCAAGTAATAGCAAGAATATGCGGTTTCATTGCACT